GCGACATGGAGCGCATGGCAGAGAACCCCAAGGTGCGCGAGTGGTGGAAGATGACGGACAGTTTCCAGGAGAGCATTGTGCCTGGGGCTGTCAGCTCCGAGGCGGGCGTGCCGAGTTGGTGGAAGCCAATGGAAGAGGTGTTTTATCAAGCCTAGATGTCCGATGGATGGGGGAGCGAATCAGTCCTGCGAGCCGGGTGGTTGGATTCTTTGAGATTGTGTTGTGAAGTTTGAATTGGCTGGCATTGCCATGGCTGCTCCCTCGAGGTGGTCCTGATCAAGGCCCTTGCTCAAATGCGTCGGTTTCGCAAAGGGCCTAGACATTGGTGAAAAATTTACTCTGTATTCCCCAACTTACGTTGGAAATGTGCCGGGGCCCATGTCAGACTTGTGATTCCTACCCTCGTTGTATGTCTACAGACTGGTATCCAATTGCGCGACTCCAACGGTGCCATGGCCATCTCATCTCACACCTGAGGTACCACAGATCAACCGCGTTCCCCCTCCCGCCCGTGGGTGTTGTGTGACTGCTTCTTATCGCTTCCTCTGTCTCGATTACTACGCAGTGTTGTTCATGAGTTGGAACTTGGGGGGGCGGCGGTGTTTTACGTTGGACGAAAGTGGAGGACCCTCCATCGGATGCAGAAGGAGCATTTATTATGCAGTTCTATCCTTTAACATATGTCACATTGAGGAGGGCAAGGTGAGTTCGATGGCGGGCACACCATGGACAACAAATTGGACTGAGCTACAGATGAAAAGATGGATATAGAATACAGCATGGTATAGTAAATTTATGCTGCTTGGACTTGTATGTTTTTTTTTCACGTAGCCCTCTATGGGTAAAGGATCAGATATGTTATTTTTTTTTATTGCGGTTTTTATGACCTCAAACGCAAATGCGCGTGCAAACACGGCACTAGGGTAGGGCCCAATCAACCACACCAAGTACCTCAGGTGGTCGTATCCAAACCAGAGAACCATGACGTACTGCGTGCTATCCCTAGTAGAGACCATGAATGCTGACCCCGTGTGCTGATAATGCAAAGCCAGGGCTGTCTCTGCGACTGCGTGTGCAATTGACGCGTGACTGTTCCCCAAGCCCTAGCCGTTCAAAATGATTCCCCCAGGACACCGAGCCGCCTCCCCCTTTGTGCTTGATGATGAGTACTTGCCGTAACATGCGCCGAGATGACTTGCAAGCACGCACGCCAAGGCTGGTCGGCGCCACGGCAAATCCGGCAACGTTGAAAGCTACGGGGCCAAACCTGGCCGCAATATCTATAATCTGACCCTGCGAACCCAAGCGCTGACAACGTGCTGACGGCCAAACCACAGCAAAATATACGCGTACCCAGCCCTACCAGGAGGCTGCCGTCATTGCCGTGGCACTGCTGTCACAAACTCGTTTGCTCACGCCGGAGACTCAGCCACGCGGGTTGACGCGCAGGCCAAGCAGACTGGCACGACTGCGGGCGGCATCGTGTCCCCGCGACTCCCAGGTACCCACCAGCTGTCACTCGTCCGGCTGCTGCACATGTGCTCAACAACAACTTGACCCAAGCCTTGAAGACGACGTACGCACGCACGCATAGCATAGCAGCGGACCGGACCCCGAGACGCCTGGCCGCGTCGTAACCTTTACTTACTGTAAGCAAGGGCCTCGGTCGCGGGCATCTATCTATCAGACACCACGACACCAAGACGAATTCGCCACGAGAAAACTCCATGCGTAGACTTGGGACGGTGGTCAAGGTACGCGTGGGCAAGATTGAACGTACCTGACGTAGATTTGCCATTTCCAACACCCCGACAGCCGAGGACATTCATGCAAAACCGTCAATCTGGTTGTATTTCCCCCTCGTGGACTAGCGCATTCCAGGCGACGGCGCCACTTTAATCGACTGGCTGCTGGGCAGTTTGCCGTCTTGACTATTGGGCTTCAGCTGGCGGCGTGAGATTTCAGCAGCAACCGGGTTAGTCGTCAGAGCTGGCAAACTCAATGGGCTTCGGCACGCCGGTCGTGTCGTAGGCGCCGCGGCCCATGTGAGTCTCTGGAATGCGGATGGAAATGGTGGCTGGTGGTTGACAACTACAAAGTCATCAGGAGATGACTGTTTCTTATGCCACAGCTATCCTGGCCTGTTGCCTCGCCTTGTGTAGAGGGAAAGAGTGCGGTGGGCATGCATTGGTTCGTATTCATCTATAGCTTGCTGGTATCTAGAAATGCCCCGCGCTATCCATGTCTAGGTTTTTACACAGAGATACAAAGAAAATTTGTGAGGGTATCAATAATGAGAGTGTGTGAAAGAAATTCAAGCACCGGGAAACATTGGCAGGCAATGAGACTGTACCTGCTTTTGGAGATGCCTGGATTCGAGGGCTGATGTGACCTGGGGCGGATGAACGAGTTTGGTAGAGAATGGACAACCTTGGACACCGAGAAATATGGACCGGCGTGTCGACATTCTAGTGAGTCAAGGTTTCGGATAAGGCGTCAAGGAGCAGGCGGCTTTATGGCCAACTGGCAATACTGGCCCGGCCAAATCCTCTATAGTAGCCGGGCATGTATGCCAGATTCCCGTTTCAGCAATATTGCCTGGCCTTGCCTTGCCTTGCCTCCCGCTTCATCCTATTCTCCTTCTAGGCTCCGTCTAAAATTCATGTCTGTATCAAAATTGATGTCGTGCCGTACCTCAGAGTTGGAACTGACTTTGGAGACATTCGTGTCTAATGCATGAGAAGAATTGCTAATGAATGGAAATGCCCTGCGACATGTTGCCTCATCCCGGACAAGTGGACTCTCCTTGGAACAATATTTTTCAGTTGAGCAGCCGAGCAGCTCTTGGACGGACTGGCATCATGGGAGGAGCCAGTCCTGCCATGCCATATGACATCAATGGCAGCATGGAGAAGGTGTTTCGATCTCGTCTCTGGCGTTGGGGATCGTCGGAATGCCTCAGTGTCAGGTATGCAATCCAGAGAGTCAATAGGGCGATAAGAAGTGCCGGGACGCCGATGGCAATAGCCACCACCACCTCGACAGAAAGTGTGGGCTGCTCAGCCATAGATTCTTATTACCACGCTATAATGAGTTGGTGTTTAAGAGCAAAGAGATATGTTGGTGTATGAAGCTGTCACAGCCAAGGTTGTTAGTCAACTTGCCACATTCGTCGGCTTGAGATACATGAATGTATACCTGGGAGTAAATGCTGTAAATTTAGTACGGTATGTTTTCAAATAACGCTGTAATTCAGAGTAGAAAAAAAGAGATACCAGTGCCGCAGCAATATATGGGTGTGTATTTTGAAGAAAAGAAGAGAGACTATTTGGCGTGGTTTGCGGTGCAGAGGGGATGACAATCATCTTATAACGCGTTATAAAGACCGCACCGAACAGAAAAAGCGACAAGGCATACGAAAATAGGCTCACATACTCAGTCACGCTGGCAGCAAGGGAGAGGCAAAAAAAAAAAAGTACTTCTCGGTACGTCGGCGTTGGCGTTGGTGACGTCGGACCCTGTCACGCTTCACTAGGCATGCCAACGACCGGGAAAAGGGGTCGCGATAGAGTGCGATCGACCTCCAACAGGAAAACTTTACCATGTCAGCCGGGCCCCATCGGTTTAGGAATACTGAAAGGGGGGGGTTATTGTTCGACCGTTACCTCCATTTGGCCGTGGTGATGAGAAAGGTACTTTGTTGTCAGAGGCGATAGAGACTGTCAAATGTACATTGTTGGTTGGAAGATCAGACTGCGACCAGCTGTGACGACACAAAATCGCAAAGTAGGAAACAACATAGATCCGTATTGCAAAAATATATACTGATGAGCCAGCATCCGCTTTCACTGTGGCAGATCGGTCTTCAAGTGGTTGTTGCGACCAGACCCGAACAACTTGGCGATTTCTTAAGAGCAAGAAAATCATGAGGTTGGAAAGACAGACTACAATTGAAAAGTTGGGGGGAAAATTGACCAAAACTCAGAATCAGCCTAGCTCTTCCTGAAGGTGAGGCGAACCAGTACGAGGCGGTGAGGAGCCGCGTGTAAGATGCCAGTCAGCATTGGCATCAACGCCTCGGCCGGTAGAATGTGATGTGAACAAGCTCCAGAGACTCTGTTGTTCGACTAAGGAAAGAGTTGGAAGCCAACAAAAAAAAGGGGGAGAAAACAAAGAGTGCAAAAGACGGTGGGAACCAACATTGGCACGAATCCACGATCCATCAGCTCATGGTGGAAGAGCTGAAAAGCACAATCACTGTGGCGCGTTTCCTCAGCAAATCAGCGACTGCGACTCCGCGACTAAGCCGACATGATCTGTAATATATTGTGTCCTGTCTCAACATTTTGTGTGGCGAGCTGACAATCGGACCAATATGTCATGATTCCTCGGGCCTTTGACTAGGTTGTCCAATGACCACCTAAACCCCGTGGCTTAGCTGTTGTTGCGTAGTCTTCGCAGCGTTGTCACACACCTTGGTCTTTCTTTCAAGCAAGTGACTGTATAGATCAGGAAGAAGAGAAACGTAATAATTAGACAAGACAGTTGCTGCTCATTCTGATCCATGGTTCACTTCGTCGTATAAAGGAGTGCCCCCTACAGCTTCGGCTACTGTCCATGGTCAACGTTCCTACACCACTCATCGACCGATCCCAACATTTATAAGGGCATGGTTCTCTGAAGTCGTCACCTCTGAATAAGAGGGGCGGCTTGAGGTATGAAAGACTTTGGCGTCGACTAACTTGCCTCATGGCAGAGTGCGAACCCAATAACAGAGGATGGCCAGGCCAAATATGTAACCGATGCATACATCTAGGTCGTGAGTGCTCCGAAAATGTTCGCGCTATCGCAGAAAATTTTACTCCATCGCTGGGTGAATCCACATTGACGAAACAATCTGAGAAAAGTGAGCAGTCTTTGGTGGACAGGTATCTAGATTCCCCAAAAGATTGGGGTACACTTCGAGTATTATCAGTCATTTAATTCCCTTTCTAGTACAAATGCCGTATGAAAATATATTCGGAGTGGAAACACCTAGTCTTACTGACCTTCTCTTCCTTTTTCAGGTCCACCCACAGCCCCTGGATTACACACATCGAACGAGTCTGCGACAGCGTTCAGATATCTGAAGCGGTATACGGCGTGCGCCTGGGCAGTATCAGCAACGAGCCCGATCTCAGCGACATTCGGACACTGGTATTAAAGGAGCGAGAAGCTGCACGATCTACATCGAGGCAGGCCATGGGGACACCGCAACTTAACCCAATGGTCCGGTATAGGCTGGCGTCAGTGCTGATGTCTTGTCCTATTCGGTCGAATGAAGGTCGACCTAGACAAAATGGAGTGCATTTTTTTGATTCGCAAGAGGATATATCTGCTCTAGTACAAGAGCTACAGCAATCTGGAGACCTAGGATACGCCATCTCTATCCAGGGATCATACCTCAACGGTCTAAGCGTTGGGCCCTAGGAAGACGTTTGAGAGACAGAACTCAAGCGATACTATGACTTGTATCAGCACTTGAGGACAGTATTCAAGCTTGGAGTTGTCGAGCAGAGCCGCCTACCACGTGTTTCATACGACTGCCTTCCATTTCTGGAAACAAGATCCGTCCGACAAGCTGCCATTAAATATCTCCGATGCACCACGACGTATTTGGAAGAAACCCTCCATATTGTTCTTAATAATACACACATTACTTATTGTGTTCCCAATGCACGTCGCTGCCAACTTCGGGTTGGGCTATGATGTTCACTGTTTGTTGGAAGCTGGCGTCGATGTCAGTCCATGTGAGAGCTCCTGCAACCTGACGCCACTTCAATGTGCAGCTACTGCTGGACAAGAAAGGATTGTGGCTATGATTCTGACCAGTCTAATGCTTGCAAAGCCGTCCTCGACAGCATCGGGCAAGCTGAATGCAGAGCCGCAGGCAGCTTGTGCATTTGCATCAAGAAACCCGCATTACCCTATTGTTCAGAAATTGCTACCGCATCTGACTGAAGATGGGCGAGATGCCGTAAGGGCGGCCATTGTATCAGCATCTGCAGCTCAGATGGCTGCTTGAAGGAGCGCGGCGCCTGTTGGCCAAGCTACAGGCAGTGGCAGCAACTTGAACAAGACTTGGAGTTTAAAAATGAAGATACCTAGTCGTTGTGAATATCAAAATGTGGTGGTTTCATCGCTCCTTCCGAAACTTGGGTCAAACACAACTTGGCATCATTCAATTGGGTAGCCTCAGACCACTTCTCGGCTGAGAAGGCACAAAGAGTCAAAAGTCGAAGCTATCGATGTCTTTCGGACGCTGCATTGCGGCCAATGTCTGCAGGCAGTAGTAATTCCTGAAGTTCTGAACGGTGGAGAAGTCGGGTAAGCGAGAAACGAAAGAGATGAGACAATGTCTCATTCCACGTATCGGATCGGGCAATTTCGCTTTCGCACACGGGACTCCACATTGCTGCAGCCATTCACAGCAATCTATCTAATGCCAGTCATCCATCATCTAGCGCGATCGTGGGGAAGAACACCCCAGTGCCCAGGATTGAAACTTCGGCGTTGAATCTCGTCCTTTCTATGGATGGGTTTTGCCGCAATAATTGGCGCATTCCTGCACAAATGTTGGCCGGACAATCAAGCTTTTGGCCCGCTTTAACACGCTAGACTACAAACTGGCTTGCAGTCGGCCCGGTTTAGAAAACAACGTCGCATCCCACAATCTCTTCCGTGAGAGCTAGGCATACGGGCCGCGGCGAAATGTGAGTCCTCCATACGCATGGCGATTTGAGAGACGGTGTGTCATAGAGTAGGAGTAAGCTTCCGTGTTCAGGCCCTGGGGATAGCGGGAGATGCAGCTATCCTACCGTGTCACTCCTACCTGTGCTGGCTAGGGCTGACTAGATGGGAGCATGAGGGCATTCAGCCCTCGAATCGACGTAGTTCAGGGCACTATTGGGATGGCATCTAGCTCCTCGCATGGCGAGCGGAAGCAGCAGAGGCTCAGTATTTAAGGATACATGTGCCCGTCATCTTCCTTGATTAGTTGGCGTCATTCCCGTCGCCGCAAAACAAAAAGCTCGCATAAGCTCTCGGGCGTTGCTGCAATGCACCTCACATCTTTGGCTCTCGCTGGTCTGCGGGCTCTCGCGGCCGCAGCTGCAACTCCAAACTGCTTTCCTTATGGCAACGCCGAATTACCCGGAGATATGACAGCTCCCAATGTCAAACTGGAGGACTGGTGGTGTCCCCAGTCCATGGCGTATGGCTTCCAGGGATTCAGCTACCCTCTCGAGGATGACAACTGCAACAGCTACACCAACAGCTTCAACCGGATGAACCAGGACTTTGCCAAGATGAAGAAGGACTTTGGAGCGAGCATCGTACGCATGTACTACCCTACATGCACCCAGCCCGGGGTGTTTGAGAATGCGATTCGAGCTGCGGCCAAGAATAACATGGCTCTTATCTTGCAGGTCTGGACAAACTTTGGTGACGGTGTACGTCTTGAATATATCCCTTGATAACCCTAGTCCGTGAATTATCCACGCGGAGCTGCGACTCCGGAGGCTGATAGGCAATCAGGATGTTTGGAAGCAATCTCAACAGGCCATTTACGACACCCTCGCCAAACGTGAATTCGCGGCCATAGCACCGTACGTCGTCCACAGCGCTGACTGGGGCTCTGAACCAGTTGGCGACGGCATGGACTCTGGTAACTTCGTCAATGACCTCGGGGCATTCCGCAAGCGGATGAATCAGCACCACGTCAAGGCGGGCATCAGCGAGGACTGGGACCGTCCTGGTTACCTCCGCAACGGCGATGGTTTGACCGATCTGGGCCGCGGCATTAAAAGCAACTCGGACTACGCCCACATCCATGCCATGCCCTTCTATCATGGCAATAATCCCGAGGGCCAGGCCTGGGCATACATTCAACAGACTACGCAGTGGGTTTTGGATCATGTCAAGCTGCCTACCATGATCACGGAGAGTCCTTGGGCTTGGGGCAAGACCGACCACAATCCTGGAAAGACGGACGTAGGCGTTGCCCAGTACACGCGCTATTGGAAAACATTTGATGATAATTGCGAGTGGTTTAAGCAGAAAAATGTCGGTTGGTTCTTGCATGCTTGGCAGGGAGAGGATAAATTTGATATTGTGAAGCCCGATGGCCCTGGTTATGTTATTCCTGGCTGGAGACCTCGTAAGTGTTGAGCACGAAAGGGCGGGCCAAGAACTGAATCGTTCGATTTGTGTTTCATCGGCCTCGTGGAGAGTCACCGTACATGTGTACATTGGCATTCGTACATTGCAAATTGGAGTTGTACGCCTTACTTACATGCTTGTCAGCCACGTACCATGGATACATTGCCGTGGTTTCTGTTGGATTGCCCTCCATGCAACAAATATTTAATCTCCAAGCAGATACCAATCTTCCACAACCACGAGATGAGGCTTGCATATGCCTTCATGCATTCAGCCATGAGGGCTCCACAGCCGGTCCCGTTCATCTCATGAGTTATATCAGTTATAATAGCCGTTGAAGTTGACCAGTCCCACCATTGACAGCCCACGTTGGCCGAATTGTTGGCGTTAGTACTACTATTCGTGTCGGCCAGCTTTTTGATCTGTCTTTTGTGAGAGGAGCCCCCTTGGGTGCGGTTTTCCACCGTCTTGCCCACTTGCTCACTACAGATGTGTTGGCCAGACCGGCGTATTTGTTTGAAGCTGCGGTCTGTGACAGAGGATATTTGGCCGTACCTGGGGACAGCGGGAGGCAATGAGTTTGCCCATGCCTAGGTCGCTCTACGCCACCCGGTGGACAAATATCTATTGCCTCTGACGGTATGCTAGCAGATTCTAGTGTAAAACCATATATACTGCGTGATATACTGGCACCGTTTTTACCCAGACACCTTCCGTTCCCGGTATAGATGTTGTAGTACAGCAATATTCATTGTAGATCCCTCGGCGCAAAATTTGTCATAGGAGCAGTCCTACCAACAATGGAACAGAGCGGTAGCAATTGGTAATCATGTTGCAGTCGTATGCACGAGTCGCTATTCGATCTTCGCTTTTTCGGGTGGTAGTCCCGAATTATTAGGGATTTTTTTTAACCGGATGTAAGATTAAAGGTACTCTGAGCATGGGCTAGGCGCCCCGGAATGATGAATACCTCTCAGCCAAATCATGTCAACGGGTTGAAATTGACAGCGGGCGTTAAATAAAAGACGCACAAAGAGACCTGGTCAGAACAACAGGAAAAATTCTCGTTGGCTTGGCTCTCTTCCCCCCCAGAGCACCCCTTGTTGTCACTATTTTAAGTCGTCATTGTATTCGCCGGTTAAGCCCTTGCCGATGCTGGAGGCGTGGATCCTGCTGATCAACTGTCCGTCTTCCTATTCAAGAAAGTCAAATGGTTGCTGAGCCGGGTTGAACGAGTTGCGTCCTGGTTGCTCATGCCATTCAATATCACTAAACACAGGAATATAGTTTCCTTGGGTATTGGTATAAACTATTATGGTGTCGTGAGGCCGGGGGTGCTGACAATCGCCCGATCAAGTCCGCGGCAAAGTGCGGGTGCTCATCATTGTTATTGTCCCAGTGGCTACGGCTTTCATCTGACCGAATGCGTCTGTGTGCCGATGTGCGGGTGATAACTCGCAGCAATATATTCTGCGACCATTTCCACGCGAAGTACACGCGATTTGGGCCCATCATGAGCCCGCCCTGTCGTCAAATTAACCATGACAAATTGACCGAACGTTTATATCTCCTTCTCGAAGGCTGCGACAGAAAAGATGAAGCTGCCAGAGAGACTATAGCACATTGTATGTATGTATGCACAATGGCGGCGCGCTCCATCCACACTAGTCAGAAGTTATCGCTAGACCACGATATCTTGCTTCATGTGTGGATGCAATCTCCATGCAGGAACACGGCGCTAGTGTTTCCAGTTAACCACGAGAACGTTGCACCCTGCGGCCAGCAGCAGGGATGAGGCCTCAATGCCTGATTTGGCTTTCACGAGCGTGACTTGGTTGTTGTCTGTCTTGGAGCCGGCGGAGCAAACGTGTCCTCAAGACATTGCCAAATGGCTGGCATTCAACTGCCCAAGTAGCAGAGACTCGACAATCTGGACTCTGTTGTCGGGCACTGCCATGACCCCCAAAAACATTCGAGACGGCCAGAATTGCGACTGTTGCTTCATAGAGATCGCCCTGGTAATCTCAGTTGGACCTCCGCGGGGGCTCGAGCACCTTTGGCCGGTGCCAAGCCAGCAGCGCGAAGCGCATCATACTTGTAATACTCCGTACTCCGTATAGTACGAGCACAGAGTAAAGTTGACTTTTTTGGTGGGGCTGGGTGGCTTCCGCAGTCCTGTGTGATATCAATTGACGTCCTCGGGTCCACATAACACACTTAACACGCGCCAGGCGGAGACGGGCCCAAGGGGGCCGTTTGGACTTGGCCTT